TCCATCAAGTTATGATACACAAACTTCCTTTCTTGAACATTAAGGACAAGTAAGAAGAAGTGGAATTTTTGCACCACGGGAAGGAAAACATAGTTCACACCATTCAAGGACCTGATCATATCATCAATCACGACAACAGTATTTCTACTAAAAGTAGAAGTACACTTCTCATAATCCTCCTTCCGAGGAGGTTTTCTCGTAATTCCTTTGATAGCACTCAACATATCACTCTACAAATTCAATAGTTTTTCAGCAAATTCACGATCAAAAAAATTAATAGAGTATATTAAAATAAAATACCTAAACATATGACAGCAGAAATCGGACATAAGGATGGCAGCCACGCAGGATCGACATGTAGCAATCAACGAGTTGAGAATTCAACTCGGAACCGAACAGAAGAGCACACATCGATTTCCCTCGGACGACAAGTTGGTCATTGCTCCACACAATTTTGCTACCAAAACTTGTAATTTTAATTAGTATAATATAATACAAATTAAAATAATTAACATAATTTCGGTTACCTCAACTGATCGCTTGCCAAGAATGACCGGATGGCTGCAGCATCCTCTTCCGGGACATCCCTATGTCCACAGAAATCTTCTCTGCCCCTGTATTGATTCAGAGAAGAATCCTCATCGTCGTCACTCTTGTCACCCTCCTACATTACATTACAAAATAATTTGTTAGTTATATGAAAACAACACGAACAATCACATAAATTACAAAAATAAAATTGCTAGTTTAACTACCTCATCATCAACCAAGGTCACCAACTGTGATTTTTTTTCTTTCTTCTGCCTCTTCGGACCGGATGACGGAGGGGTCATAAAATCCACCAGCTTCGTCTTCTTCTTCCTGCCTACCCTCTCCCGGACCCTCTTCACCATTGAGGAGGGTTTCTCCTCCACCCTCGAACAAGTCGATTCCTCCCTCAAACCAGCCTCCTTCACCACAAGGTTTACCAGTCGGTCCAAGTCTTCGAACTCATTCACAACAAGTTGATTTTCAACCACCATCAGAGCCCATTGTTTTTCCTCCTCTTTTTCATCGACGTCTTTTTCCTTGACATCTTCTTCCTCCTCTTTTTCTTCTTGTTTTTCCTCCTCTTTCTCCTCTTTTTCCTCCTCCTTCTCCTCTTTTTCCACAGCAAAACCAACACCATCACCACGATCAGCCTCTTCTTCCTCACTTTTTTCCTCTCTTTCTTTTTCTTCGTTATTTCTTTCTCTCCACTGAGACTCTAACACTTGAATTCTTTTTTTAAGTTCATCGTTTTCATGGCAAACGATGGCATACAATATGTTCTCAAACGTTCCCTGTACATGAAAGAAAAAAAATTAAAAGAAAACAATAATTAAAGATACTTGCACTTATAAAAATATACTAATGTTAAAACATAAATTCTCGACAAAAATTAAAAGAAAAGTTTGGCTTCCACAAACGCACGCTCCTCTGAAACAGGCGATACCGAATACACCTGCAAAGCAAATCATAATGATTTAAGTACAATATCGATTAACCAAAAAGATAAAAAGAAGAGTAGAAAACACATAATACTATAAAATTATATAAATTACCTTATGCCTCATTATTTTTTTAACGGATTGTAAAGACCCTTCAAATGTAGACGGCGTTGTGCTCCCCGTCTATCGAAATAGACGGGGAATCGCCTCGAGCGTGGAACGTTTGCCCATAGAAGGCACACGCTCGTACAACCAAGCCTACACGCATACACATGATTTCAAAATAACACAATCTCACAATTTACTATTATTGTATTAGGACATTGAAACACATATATACATACCATCAGCCCAACGACACATCCATCAAAGTAAGCTCGGTCTCTAGATTCACCATGGCGAACAAGCTCTGCAAGCAAGAATTTATGAGTAGCATCTCCCCATGCATACTCACAAATTCGACTCACATCCTCCAGGTAAGGATGTGAATGGGGACGGAATAACTCGAACAAGGAAACAAAATGCAACTAAAAATGAGCAAACTATACATCCTGATGAAGTCGTTTACACGACCTTCATCAACAGCAAACTTTTCTAACAGATCTATGACATGCTTTCTTTTCAACATTTTTTTATCTACTCGACCCCAGCCGTCGAATAAGGCTTTCGACTCCAAAGAAAGGTCTAAGTCTACGCTTAGACACCCTGTCGTAGCCCCATAGTTATACAAAACTCGGCGAGGTCAAAATTAAGAAACAAATTATCACCAAGAACAAAGGCATTCAAGTCTACCCTATACGTGCTAACTAGAGCCTCAACTCTACTATGCAAAACGGCTACATCGGGCATATTCACAAAAAAATAAAAAGTGCTCTGTTTAAGAGCCTCTTTGTGTTTGTCTGAGAGCACAGCAACGGTTCTATCCATTACATCTTTGAAATATGATGGGGCACACCTGTATCTTAGTTCGGTTCCCTATCACAAACAAAGAGAATTGTGAGGAAAAAGATGTTATATACAAGTTTCAGAACATTCAATACAATATACATTCTTTTTTTTTTAACGATAAAGCGATATATTAAAATCTACGAAAATACACAGGGTTAACCAACTGGTTACAAGCAACATACCAACCAATAAAGGCTGATAAACGAGCCAAAGGCAAGACCTCTACTCCCTAGAACACAAAACAGACTATCCACACTAAACAAACTAAAAAAAAAAATCAAAACAAAAGAAACAAAAAAACATATACCAACACTAGTACATAATTCTCCTCCTTCTTAGCATGTTTCTGAATCAAATCACATAAATCAAACCACACAAATACCACAGAAATTCTTCTCCTTTCTTTATATGAAAGTGCTAAAAGAATATAATGTTCTCAGAAATTCATTTACGGAAAATCTATTACAGCCCTAAATTATTCGAATTTAAGCTCTAAAATAATGAAATTCACAGAAATTCAATTACAGAAAAGCCCTAATTTCGAATTCACAGAAATTCACAAAAATTCAATTACACAGAAAGACCCTAATTTCGAATTCAAGCCCTAAATTGAAAAAAACCCTAATTTTCGAATTCAAAGAAATTCATAGAAATTCACAAAAATTCAATTACACAGAAAGACCTTAATTTCGAATTCATGCCTTAAATTGAAAAAAATCCTAATTTTCGAACTCAACCCCTAAATTGAAAAAAAAACCCTAAAATTAAGAACAGAGCCCAAAAATCAGAAATTACCCTTGAACTTGGTAATGCCTTCGTGGGTATATAGGAGAACAATTTGCATGGAGATTTATTTTTGGAGCCGGCCATTGCTTCACAGAGAGACGAACGGCGAGTGACAGAGAAAGAGACGAAGATGGCGGGCGATGGTGATGAACAAACAGAGAGAGAGAGAGAGAGCAGAGATGGCGATGGCGATGGCGACGAACGAACAGAGAGAGAGAGAGAAAGAGAGCAGAGATGTATGGCGACGAAAAACGAACAAGAGAGAGAGCAGAGATGGATGGGACAGAGAGAGAGAGAGAGAGCGGCGAGGAGAGAGATAGAGACTTCAAAATGAATTTTCAGATATTAAGGCAAAAAATAAATGAATAATAATAACCTTACTTTATATATGGGGAGTGAAATGGAAAGAGAAAATTAGGGGAAGGGAGTGCAGAGGAAATATATTAGGAAGGGGACTGAACTGGAACTTGAAAGTAGCATTAGGGATTTAAGTTGAATTTACCGAAATATATATATGAATTTATTGTGTAGTCCAAATTTGAGTTCGAAATTTAAAAGTCAAATAAGTACTTATTCATAACTTACGGGTCAATATTAACTTGGACGTAAATGGAATAGTCAATAGTTATTGTTTAATTTGGGAAATGCTCACATGCCCACGGTGAGCACATGTTAATATGCTCACCGCTGATGTGGCATGCACACATTGGTGATGTTAATATGTTAAAAAAAATACGTCACCAATGTGTGCATGTTACATAAGTCGGTGGACATATTAACATGTGCCCACCGTGGGCATATGAGCATTTCCCTGTTTAATATATTACTCAAGTACTTAAAAAATTTTATATGGATAGTTTATAAAAAAAAGTAAATTCATTTTAATTAATGAAATAATATGAGTTTTATAATTATACTTATTATTCATATAAATATTTAATATATATGATAAAATTTTACAAAAATAATTATTTTATGGTATCACATTGTAGTCAAAACGAATTTCTGAATAAAAATTTAAAAAGGACACTTATTTTGAAATGAATATAAAAATGACACTAATTTTTTAAATAGACATGGTGTATGTAATTTTGAACAATTTAAATTTCAAATAACATTGAAATTTTTAATTTATAAATATTAATGAATATTTATCACCCGTCCATCGTACAAATTCATACTAATCATATATTAATAGATATATAGATAATATAAATTGATCCGAACGTACCTTCAACTCCATTTACATGGTCTGAACTGAAGTGATTGCTTTTTACCGAGTCTAGACCGTACAATCAAATTGAAACATATTATTTTATGTTCTATTGTATGTTTCCCAATTCCCACACGGCGAGATTTGTCAATGTTGACTTCCCACACGCCAAATCGCTAGAAAATTTTCAATCTTTGCAGTCTTCTCGATTGACTTTTGCAGAGCACCAAACTCCCTTAATTCAATCCGCAGCTAAAATCACAACCAAAGTGTAAATACAGTTTCTGTACGTATAGCCAACTCCAAAGGGACTTCTTTCCTGGCTGCTGTGCATGAAAATTATTTTATTTTATTAAAAAAAAAAAAAAAAACTAGTATAGAGATTTCTCAGTTTTACTAGAGAAGTAGTTCTATAGTAAATAAAGTTGACTTGTTGCTTCTGTTCCATGCCCAGCAAAAGCCAACACCTTATTAGTTACCCCATACTCCATTTTCGTTTTTCCTTTCCTACCCAAAATTTGTAGTAGCAACAGAGTTTTTCTTGCTCGATAGTAATTCTTTTGTCGGTTGTGTAGAGTATTGGTATGCCTTCTATTTGGAAAGCTCTTTCCTCTTCTTCTTCTTCTTCTTCCTCCAGCAATAATAATAATAACGGCAATAAGAATCATCGGCCATTGAAGGGCAAAAGCAAGAGCTCGAACGATATATTATCGAACAAGGCGAACAGCGAGCAGGCGAGAAAGCTGACACGTGCCAGGAAATTGAGGCACGCGACCGATGATGAAGTAGGCCTGAATTCTTATGCTGGGCTGCAGTTTTGGCCCATTTCGCCTGATTCGGGTGCGGGTCACGGGTGTGGGCCCACAACCCTCCTCCCCACCGCCGCCGCGCACTGGTCCAAGTCGGCGGTGCCTCAGCCGCTGCCCCGCCCTGAAATTAATCATCTTCTACCAGTGAATGAGAGGTTTCTGTCTCTTTCTCTTTCTCTCTCTTTGTGGTGACCTTTTGGTTTCTTAAGTGTAGCTATTATCGTGGGTCAGCGTTGGTCGTTCCTCTTTTGCTCGTGTCTTGATTCTTGAATTACAGTGAAATTAAATGGTTAGCAATAACAGATTCACAAAATATCATAAACCGTTTGCTGTGAGCCAATTGAAATTATTTCCTTGTATGGACTAGTTGATTCTTCCTAGCTTAAAGGTTATTGGGTGGAAATTGCCAAGTTTTATCCCTTGGGAAATTTTTTGCCAAAATTTGCTTGTACGAAGGAGGTGATTTGTTTGTGTAGAAAAGAAAAGCAGTTAACAACAATCTTAAAGTGCAAACAGAAGCCAAAACCTGAGCAGAATTGAAAGGAGGTCTTTTGGAGAAGAACTTGAGTAGTTTATACTTTATACTGCTTTATTTGTATGAAAATAGTCTGAATCTGAAACAGAATAAGCTTCATATGAAACACGTTGGATCATTTTCAAACTTTAGCCGACAATCACTTAGTTTATTTCCTTTTTTATTTTTTCAATTTCACCAGAAATCCCTGTCGTCAAGTGCGCAGCGACGAGATTGTCCAGAAAACGACGAATGTGTACAGTAGGTGCCGCCGCAGGGGATTATTCTCTCCCGACCTAAACGTGGACTCCTCACATGAAAAAGAGTTTCGTTTGCATATTCCCACACGAAGTGCTCCAGGCAGCGGTTTTTCCAGCCCCGTCCTCAGTCCACAGAGACACAACAGCACTCTTGATCTTTATGTCCCTTCTTTCCGAGTCCCTTCAAAGTTTTCCAACTCAGACAGAAAATCCAAGTCCTACCAAATCTCACCTTTCGAACACTCCCCACTCCATAGCCCAACCCAAAACTCTAATGGGGCTTTCATGCACTCGCACGAGAAGTCCCTCCCGGAATTTTTTGCTTTAAAGAGTGAGTGCTGTAATAATAATAATAATAATAATGGTAATGTTCACCCATTGCCACGCCCACCGTCAGCTTGTAGACAGTCACTCACTGTTAGGCAAAATATTGAAAAATCGGATAGTTTAGCGGTTATTAAAGGGCAATGGCAGAGGGGACGGCTATTAGGGCGAGGCACGTACGGAAGTGTGTATATCGCGACTCATCGGTATGTCGACTTTTTATGTTATTTTGAGGGAATTTTCGATTCTAGTTCTTGAATTGTGCTCTATGTTTTATCTATGGTAAATGTGATTGAAAAATTCAAACACGTGGTTTACCAAATTCGATATGCGTACCGAGAAAAGGCAAAATAGTGATATTAGTGTTTATGTACTAAAACTTGGGGTTGTCACTTTATGTAACTGAATCACATCTTGTGATAGTGAAACTGGGGCTATGTGTGCGGTGAAAGAAGTCCAGATGGTGCCTGATGATCCTAAATGTGCAGAATGTGTGAAGCAGTTGGAACAGGTATTTAATTATGAGGGCTTCGTTCATATTTATATAACATGTCACACACTAAAAAGAAACTTTGATTTATGTTCATCAAGAAAAGTGCATTTTTGGTTTCTGGAGTTGTAAGAATGGATTATTAAGACTGATTCTTGAAACATTTACATTTTNTAGATATTTTATTTAAGAAATAGATTTGGTATAATTCTATCCTTCTTCTGCCAAAACTCTTGGACTGTTTAGTATTATATTTTGGGACATCCCAAAATATTAATTCCTTTCTCATCAGTCATAGCAGAAAGAAAGAGATAAATGGTTCACAGTTTCATATATATAGTATATAGGTGCACATTTTCAACTTATACCAATGACAAAATATATTTTTGATTACATGTATACGCTTTATAAACAAATATTATGTTTTCACTTGACACTTTCTTATTTCTCTTTCACCATTCAGGAAATCAAATTCCTCAGAGAATTGAAGCATCGGAACATTGTACAGTACTATGGGTGCGAAACTGTAAGAAAGATTCCATTTTTCTTTGTTTTTCATTTTTCTATTTTAGTTAAGAACAGCAACTCAGAATCTGTCTCAAACACAATGGTGCCCTGATCATTATTATCTTCTGCAGATTGAGGATCGTTTTTGCATATATTTGGAGTATGTGCATCCAGGAGCGGTTAATAAGTATGTCCGTGAAAATTGTGGGGCTATGACAGAGAGTATTGTGCGCAATTTTACCCGTCACATTCTCTCAGGATTGGCGTACTTACATAGCACAAATACAATACACAGGTTAAATTCCTTCACTTGAAATTTTTATAGTATCCAGCGGGCAGGTTGTTATGTTGTGGGATTTCCTTTTGTTTTTCTTTCTATATTTTAGTATGAATAAGAAACAACACTTATGGTCCTGCTCTATCCCAATGATGGTTGATTAACAAACAAAGTCAGTATACATAATTTACCTTTTTTCTGATTCTCGATTATGTTCGATGTCTTTGGCTGAGTCTGAGATATAGTTTTGCTGTTTCCTCACATCATAGGGATATCAAAGGGGCAAATTTACTTGTTGATGCATATGGTGTGGTCAAGATAGCGGACTTTGGATTAGCAAAGCATGTAAGAAATTTTGGAGCCTGTAAAAATAAATAGTATCATGTCAATCATTTGCATTGTATCTGGTATTTCATGAGGTATTTTATAAGTCTCACTCAATAATTTAAGATTTACTTCAATTATTAGTCTGTTCATGATTTTAGTTAGTGGGAGTTCTCTCTCTCTCTCTCTCTCTCTCTCTCTCCATTTTCCTATCTTTCCCTTTAGCAAAATATGAAATGGTCTCAAATTGATTCCAAATGATTTCAGTTGCTGATCTATGCTAACTAGAAAGTAGTCGGATTAGCTAAGTGACACGTTTAAAAAGTACAGGTTTTAATTACTGATTTAGGAAAGAAGTAAACACAATTGGATTCACAGTTGAGTCAATGTACCAAAAGGATAATTTGGAAGTGAAACCAACAGAAACCATCTTTTCATACACTTACATTTATTTGTTTGTTTATGTCTTTGTCTGTGTGTATGTGTTTCTTTTAAGTTTCATTTTCCTTTCATACTGAGTATTAGTTGTAGATAATCTGCCTGGATTATTAATCTTTTTTAAGTTTCTTTTTTCCGTTTTAATTCTTCTAAATTGCTGCTTATTCACATCCTTATTTTCTGTGCCCCTCCAGCTTAATGGACATGATATTGATCTCTCTTTGAAGGGTACCCCTCATTGGCTGGCACCAGAGGTAGTGTGGACAAGTAACTGTTCAAGTTTTAAATTCCTTGCTTTCCAGTTTGATTTTACTGTTAATCTGAGTGAATGAGCTTTGGTCGATACAAAAACGAATTGAGCTCGAGTAATGTGATAATTTATTTCAAACATTTTCTTTGTCCCTAACGAACCAAACTGAACTCAACTGAAGTTTTCATCACACCTTATCGAATTGAATAATACAATATTGTTTTAAAGTTTGGTTTAATTTTAGTTTCGGTTGGCAGGTCTTGCATGCTATGATGCGAAAAGACGCAAACCCTGAGCTAGCCTACGGTGTTGACATATGGAGCGTTGGTTGTACGGTTATTGAGATGCTCACAGGAAAACCTCCTTGGAGTGAGCTTTCTTGGGTAAGCCATACATACTCTTGCAATTTTTACTCTTGGGATTATTTGGCAATCTCTTCTTTTAACTTCTACATGTAGCAATATTAGTCCTCAATGATTTTACGGTCTAGTTAAAAGAAAAACAACAATTTAGATCCTATAACTTCCAATGAATGCATGTATGAAGATTTTAGCACTTAAATGTGAAGCATAAAAATTGTCGAACAGATCAAATTTGTGCAATTTTGGAACTTGCATTATAAGATTTCACACTCTAGAACTGGGGACTGTGACTGTAATTGATCTGTTATTTATTTTTTTATATTGTTTTTCTTTTTTAATTCTAATTAGGTGCAAGCAATGTTTAGTGTATTGAACAAATCACCGCCCATCCCTGAAAAACTGTCAGCTGAAGGGAAGGATTTTCTTCAACGGTGCTTTCAAAGACGACCTGAAGATCGACCCTCGGCAGCTAAGCTGCTCGATCATCCTTTTGTATGCAGTTCACGTGATCAAACTCATGCTGGTTTGGTGCTAGGATTTTCTGGAATTAGATTACATGTGAGTTTCTTTGGGAACAAAATCAGTCTTAATCATACCCATGCAGGAACTTGACAGAGATGGAATCATAGTATGTCCTAATTCGTAATTCGATTTTGCTCGAATAAGGAAATAATTAAGAAAAAAAATATTATTTCAGGATGTAGAGAGTTCAAGCGACTGGACACAGCGGAATAAGGATGTGATGCCAAGTTCACCAGTCACAAAGATACAAGGAGGAAAATTGCCACTACTCAATGGGTGAGTTTTTTATGTCCTAATATCCGATTTTCAATGGTATTTGACTGAGACAATAAATCCATTTTTCTTTATTTCTTTTTTTTTTTTCATTTTAATCATTCAACTCTTCCCATCATTTTTTCATTTTGGGAAAAAAATTTGTCGCTTTGCATGGTGTGAAACCTTCAAACTATAGATTGTCAGCTACAAACTGACAACTCAGGTTGCAGAGTGGAAAAAAATGCACAAATTCAGGTTGAAATATAATTAATTAATTTTTGGAATCCAGCGAAACTAGTCGACAAGAAAGCTTGGGCCCGGGTCCCACTTCCCACAACTCAGAAAGCCCTTCAAATGTGGATAAGAATTTGTTGTTAAGAGCTGTTAACAACAATGTGTACACTTTTTCGTGCAAGGAAAATCTCACTCTACTGATGCCGAAAATGACGGAAAGGAAGAAACAGAGCTCAAACGCGCAATGAGAAATAAATTAATGCAACACCTTTCTGGGTTGGCATTACATATTCTGATGATGCAGTGTCAGTGTCACCACAAGGCAACAAACAATAACAACAATGTGTTGTTTGATGACTTGTTGGCACTTTGGACAGCGCCTAGAACACAAAGGTTGTAGTCCCTCTACTACTATGGATATCTTTGTATTGTATATATGTGGGAGAAAATCAAGGGATGTGGAAACAATTCTTTGTAGTGTAATTTAGTAGTAGAATGCACATATTTAGTAGCATTATTGGAATATATTTAGTACTGTTGTATGTGTTACTCGGCCAAGCTATTCTTAGTGTTGTATGTGTTATTTCTGGTAGTGATATTGGAATGTCTTTAGTAGGGAATAAAAGTACCAAAAAAAAAAAAAAAAAANAAAAAAAAAAAAAAAAAATAGAATGGGTGGAAATTGTGGTGAATAATCAAACAATCAACAAGCCGTTAAAATCTTACTAAGTGGAGTCGGTTATATGGATCACATGTTGCCATCGTACTCGATCAAGGCACATATCCTCGAGTCATTATTGGGTAGTACATGTAAGCATCGAATTTCATAAAAGAATATGGATGCAAAAGAATATTTCTTTTTCGGAAAGTGTAAAACTTTAGGTTGCTCAGATATAAATCAATTTGAGTTTTATTGGATTTGTTGGTTAATTAGAGTTAATTTTAAAAAAGATTTTTTGGTCATATTTTGAGATTTTAAGTTACAAGTGTACTCTTTTAGAACTTTATTTTTATTCATTTAGAACCTTATTTTTTATTTTTATTTTTAAGAATTCTTGTGTATTTAATTGAGATTTACAAAAAATAAATAAAAATGTCATGAGATATTCAATTGAAATTTCAAAAGTTTTAAAAACTAATGAGATACTCAATTTATTTACCAAAAACACTTTTTTTTAGTGTGTTTAAGATTGTGATTTTAAAAATAAATTATGTATATCAAATCCATCATAATTCCTACCTATATTTCAAAAGTTTTCATTAAATTTTTTGAAAAAAAAAATAATTTTTTTTTTTGTAAATGTAAAATATTGCTCAAAATATCAAATGAATACGTTAAATAAAGAATAGGAGGGAATCTTTTCATTTGTTGTGATCAAGTGCAAATGTTCTGAAACTGGAAAAGGCAAAAAGAAAAGAAACCCTCAAAGCTTCATCTTCCATGTAGAAGAACCGGATATCACAACCTAATAAATTCACTCTGTGAATTGTTTGTGTGCATTTGTAGCGAAATCTATAGACCTTTGCCGTTGTACCCACCTTTCCCACGCCCCAGAATTTGAACTGTTGTAGTGCTTCACCCTCTTCTCCAAATATGGTCCAACAAAATAATTTACGTTGAACAATGGCTCCCCAGGACCTTGATGCTGCCCTTCAAGTGTTTGATATGTGGCCTCAACAAGTTTTCCTTTTCTTTCCATTTCTTTAGTTCCCCCTCTTTATTTTCTCCCTTCTTTTCATGAGTGGTTGCTTTAGTTGATCTGTAGGAGATGGAGGTTTGTTCAAAAACTCTCTCTCTCTCTCTCTCTCGTCGCCGCAGCTTCGTCGCCCCCAGAAAAAATTCCAAAAATATAGAAAATCCTCGCCATGGCCGAAGCAAAGGCTTCATGATTCCTCCGTTATGTTTTTCTTTTTTTTTTTCAAATTAGTAAAAAAAATTAAAACTTTTTAGAGTTTCAGCTCGGCCGGCCGATCGCCAACGTTGTGGCCGGCAGTCAATCGCGACCGACGCTAGCGGGGCAGTTTCTGTCGTTCGGCCGCATGCTAGGTGGCCGACATTGGTAGCCGGCCACACCCTAATCGGCCGCCCTAGGTGGCCGACCATGCGCTCTGTTGCTGGCCGGAATTTAGTTTTTTTTTTTAATAATTGAAATTATTTAATTATGTGTAAATATTTAAAAATTGAATTGACTTAATTTTTTAATTTAGGTTAATTTAGATAAATTTTAGTTTAGTAGTTGCTAATAATATGTTACTTATAAATAATATGTTATATATATTAGTTAAATGTAGCTATACTAAATTTATGATAATAATACTTTTTAATAATACTAATTATTTATAGAATAATGCATATAACTTTTGTATTTTTAGGAAATGAATTAGTTGCAATATATGTAATAAAATGGTTTGTTGAGTAATTATTAGTTTCAAAAATTTTAATCTATATATATTGAAAGCGGATGGTCAATAAATTATTTGTGGAAAGTTCATAAAAAAATTGAGTCAACCCATTTGACTTACTACTTATGGAAATTGATTAAAAAATCCGAAATTCTGTTTGTTTAAAAAATCTGAAATTCTATTCGTTTTACAAAATTCAAAATCATTCCATAGTTTGCTCAAAATTTGTTTACGCGTTTCAAGAATCCTAATTCCATATTTTGCTCAAAAAATTATTCACGCATTTTAAAGAATCCTAATATTGTTACGGCTTTGAAAATTTTAATATACATCTTATCCCAAATTTAATATACATAATTTTTCTGAATTTTCTCACTTTGCATGGTGTGAAACCTTCAAAATATAGATTGTCCGCTACAAACTGATAACTCAGATTGCAAAGTCAAGAAAAGAATGCACAAATTCATGTTGCAATATAATAAACTCAATTTTGGAATCGAGCGAAACTAGTCGACAAGAAAGCTTGGGCCAGGGTCCCACTTCCCACAACTCAGCAGTTGAAGCCCTCCCTCAGGTCGGTTCAAACACTGTGAGCTCTGCAAATGTGGATAAGAATTTGTTGTTAAGAGTTGTGAACAACAATGTGTACATTTTTTCGTGCAAGGGAAATCTCACTCTACTGATACTGAAAATGACAGAAAGGAAGAAACAGAGCTCAAACGCGCAATGTGAAATAAATGAATGTACCACCTCTCTGGGATGGCATTATGTATTCTGATCATGCAGTGTCAGTGTCACCACAAGGCAACAAAGGACAACAACAATGTGTTGTTTGGTGACTTGTTGGCACTTTGGACAGTGCCTAGAACACAAAGGTTGTAGTCCCTCTACTACTCTGGATAGGATATCTATATATATGTGGGAGAAAATTAAAGGATGTGGAAACAATTCTTTGTAGTGTAATTTAGTAGTAGAATGCACATATTTAGTAGCGTTGTTGGAATATACTTACTACTGTTGTATGTGTTACTCGGCCAAGCTATTCGTAATGTTGTATGTGTTACTTTTGGTAGCGTTATTGGTAAGAAAAATAAATCCAAAAAAAAAGAAAAAAAGAAAAGAAAAAAAGTGGATCTCTAGAAGTGACAACAAATTCAATTCCTTATTGGGTAGCACATGTAAGCATCGAATTTCATAAAAGAATATATGGATGCAAAAGAATATTTCTTTTTGGGAAAGTGTAAAACTTGTAGGTTGCTTGGATATATATTAATATGAGTTTTATTGGTTTTATTGGTTAATTAAAGTTAGATTTGAAAAAGTTGTTTGATTTCATTTTGAGATTTTAAGTTACAAGGTGTATTATTTTAGAACTTTATTTTTATTCATTTTGAACTTCATTTTTTAATTTTTTTTTAAAAAATTCTCGTGTATTCAATTGAGATTTACAAAAAATATATAAAAATGGCATGATATATTCAATTTAAATTTCAAAAGTTTTAAAAACTAATGAGATACTCAATTTATTGGAGAAGGCTACCATCCCGTCACGGGATCATTCCGTAACGGGAAGGTAGCTTTTTTACCAATTTATTTACCAAAAAACACTTTTTTGAGAGTTTTTAAGATTGTAATTTTAACAATAAATACATATATTAAATCCATCATAATCCTACCTTTAGGGTAAGTTTGGTTGCACTTTTTGATTAGGCTTGATGTAATATATTGGGTTTGGGCCCTATTTTATGGGTGATAGTATCCGTACGTTAAAACTGTTTGGTTTCATTTTTGAGCAACTTTATACAAGCCTAATAAAACTAATAATTTGCTTGGTTCACATTTTAGTCAGTCAAATACAAACCTCATTTTTTGGTTGTTTTTTTGGGATAAGGGAAATAACAGTATGATTAGTTTCTTTAGGGAGCTTACCAAAAGTGAAGAAGTTTTGAACTGCTGCACATAAGTGGTGTTTCACATCAGACCAAGAATGTTGGAAAAACGTTGGTGTCATTCCATCTACTTGTCTTTCTGATTTTCGGCCTATAAGCCTTTGTACAGTATCTTATAAAATTATAGCTAAAATTCTTGCTACTAGAATCAAATCAGTTCTTCATGTTTGTATATCACCTACCCAATCAGCATTTATCCCAGGTAGGCAGATTTTGGATAATGCTATACTAGCCAATGAATGCATACATTTTCTTAACAGTAAAAGAAAGGGCAAAGAGGGTTTTATGGCTGTCAAGTTAGATATGTCCAAAGCTTATGATAGGGTAGAGTGGGATTTCCTAGCTCGAGTCTATATTAAAATGGGTTTTTGTAGTCAGTTTGTGGCTTAGATCTTGGCCTGTGTGGGGTCTGCTTCTTTTTCATTTAAGATTAATGGGCAAGTTCATGGGGCAGTGGTTCCTGCTAGGGGTTTGAGACAGGGGGATCCACTGTCCCCATATCTGTTCATAATTTTATCCGAGGCCTTCTCTAACCTTTTGAAACAAGCATCTATTCATAATAGGTTGAAAGGTATTAAGCTTAGTAGGTTTTCTCCTGTTTTGACTCATCTGATTTTTGCAGATGATAATCTTTTGTTTTGTCAAGCTTCTATTAATCAGGCTACAGTGCTTATGAACATTTTACATGAATATGGAGTCTCTTCTGGTCAGGTGGTTAATCTTGCTAAGTCTTCAGTGTTTTTTTCTAATAATGTAGCTGAGTCTGAGTTACTAAGTATCTGTGGGGTGTTAAATGGTATTTCTTGTGTGAGTTCTGCTAAGTATTTGGGTCTTCCTTTGGGGTTAGGTAAATAAAAAAGAGAGACCTTCAGATACTTAAGTGAGAATGTAAAAAAAAGAGTGCAGAGTTGGAAAAATTCATATTTGAGTGAAGCAGGAAGAGAAATATTGATTAAAACAGTCTTAAATTCTCTTCCTGTATACACAATGGCTTGCTTTAAAATTCCAACTGCAGTGTGTCAAGAGATGGGAAGATCAATAGCTTCATTCTACTGGGGAAAAATAGATCAGGGCCAAGATAAAATTCATTGGACAACCTGGGAGACTTTGGCAAAGGAGAAAGAGGAGGGTGGATTAGGATTTAGGGATTTGGCTGACTTCAATGAAGCCTTGTATCCTCCACACAACCAAATCTATTGCTTACTAAAGTGATGAAAGGTAAGTATTTTCATAATACAAACCTATTCCAAGTTAAAAAAAAGAAGTAGTGATTCATGGTTGTGGAAAAGCTGGCTAGGGGTTAGAGCCAATTTTCAGAAAAATGTGAAATTTCAGGTAGGGGATGGAAAAAGCATATCAGTGTGGGAATCCCCTTGGGTTCGTAATGCAACACCCCGCTAACTAGGGCCAATTTTTCGCAAATTTAAACTCTTTCGAAAACTGCTTATAAATTTTTCGAAATCATTTGCAAACTATCTCAGGATGTTGCTAAGGACTTTTCTGCTTAAAAACCCGTTTCTTTAACCTAGGTCTAACGACTGGTTTAGACTTAAAGAAATCAGGTTTATGTTTTTGACGAATCATGCATATTAGACTAGACCCGTTCGTACTGGCGAACAGGGTAAAATTATTTATGTCTGAAATTAACGTCATGCATGTTCGAAAATAAACACAACATAGCGGAAGTCTGAAATACGTGGCAATATTTTGTTATACAAAACATTTTTAAACAAATGTCCCGGGAACAGCTTTCATGCGGAACTCACGACCACCACCACCACAGCTCATCTCACGCCTGCCCGCCGACCTTGCCATCTGAAAATATAAAGTGGGGGTGAGTACGGTCCACTTGTACTCCATAAAAACCCATTCTAAAGTAAACAGCAATATTAGTAATGATATCACAGACTGGTATATATAAGTAAACTGTAACTCCCGGAACTCTCTGGCCGGTAACTCCCAGAACACTCTGGCCGGTAACCGTGTGCACACTCTGATGGTATAACTAGGACAAACTGGGCCACCACCAGAACTGAGGGAAGGCAAACTTGGCCTTAACCCAAAGTGGATAAAACTCATATACATACCTGAACGTGATATCGACTATTAAACTCAATGTATAACCCAGACTGGGTCCCCACCTGATCGGTTTTTGAAAATGAGTAAATGCGGCTGTGCTGGTAGCTGACTCCTCAAGCTACATAAAATATAAGCAAACAAAATATACTAAGTACTATGCTCGTCATATGCTCAAAAATATGCTAGGATGCTCTACTCTATCAGATTACTCATCCGAATATAAAGGAACGCTCTATGGGTTCACTGAAATAATTCTAAGTCCGGAACTTATACTGATTTGCTTAACTGATCTGGTTTGGCTCGGAAAAATACTTAAATTTCGGAATAAGACTCGGACCGAAATTCATGAACCAAAACGGACTCGAACCGCCGGCTAAACCGGCCGGTTCGCTAACTGGCTGAACCGGGTTGGGCTGGACCGGACCGGGTTGGCCCACCGGTTCACACTGGACCGGGTGGTCACGAGCTGCTCGGACTGGCCGGGCTCGGTCCCGTGCCGGGCCTGCTGGGGCCATGGCACGGCGCTGGGAACGAGTTGGGTGCGACCGGGCACGGTACTAGGCGCGGGCCCTG